AAGCTAACAGAATACGTCGCTATCGGCGTCGGCGGCGTCCTTCTATTACTAAAAACGCAATAGCGGTCCCGCCTTATCGGGGTTATTCTTATAGTACTCGAATAGCCTACTCGTAGCGTTACGGAAGTTCTCGGCGAGATACTATATCGGGTCGGGATCCTAACCTTTCTAGTAGACTTAGTAGTATAACTTTCCGTACTTGATCTTCGAGGCGAGGATTTGCTAGATATACTATTCCTCTTCTCCTTCGACTGTTTCCCCTAGTAATTTCTCGTTGGCTTATCCTAGTAGCAAGTTATTCGGGTATCGACGTAATCGATCGGCGTAGAAGAGTCGAGGGCCCTATTAGTCGTCCGGTAGATCGAGAGCGTAAAAGTATCCCAGCTTCTCGCGAATACGATAATACCGTCGAGTTAAGGGGTAGTCGAGCTTCTCGCTAGGTCGATTAGTAGTCGTCGACCACGTCCTCCGAATAATACGTACCTTATCGCCGACGTCGAAGTCGGGTTCTCGTCGGTATCGGTTAGCTTGCTCTACCTAACGGGCTTGAGCAGATCCTATATTCCGACGGGCGAAGTCGATAAAATCCTAGATAGTCTTAGTAATTCGTTAAGCTTCCTCTCGACTGAGCTTTTCCCTTACCGGCATCTCTAAGAAATCCGTAGTCCTCTATTCCTAGTACTACTATTAGAGCATCGGGAAACCGGTAAGTACCTCGTAGGGTTCGAAACTAGTACTATTATAAATAGTACTATTCTATATAAAATCGAGAACTAGTATATATCTTAACCAGTTGTCTTAGTAATGATTCACCAAGATATGTAAGCGTACCTACTTAGCGTAGTCTCTCTAATACCTTACGGATATATTCCTTATGCTCTTCTAAGTTATTAGAGTAGATAAGGATATTATCGATATATACGCTATAGAATTCGTCGAGGTAACCTATCAAAGTATTGTTAATATAACGTTAGAAAGTCGAAGGACCGTTCGTTAGGCCGAATAAGAGGACCTTATACTTGTAAGCGCTATATCTAGTCCGGAAGGTCGTCAATTCCTCGTCGTCGGGGTACATCCTTATTCGGTAGAAAGCTTGACGGATATCGACCTTAGTAAAGAATTTGGCCTTTCCGATTCGTAATATTGTCTTATTAATGAGAGGTAAAGGATACCGGTCTTTCCGGATAACGGTATTCAACTTGCGGTAATCGATACAGAAGCAGAGGCCTCGTCTTCCTACCTTAGGTGCAAATAGTACTAGCGTAGCTTATAGGGTATTACTACTCTCGATAAATCCCTTATAAAGGTTATCGACGATGTATTTTCGATATACTTCGGCTTCTTCTAGTAATATCTTGTAAAGGGGGCTAAAACCGAGCTCGTCCGGTAAACTATTACCGATATCGATATAGTAATCGATCGTAAGTCGGTAGGGTAGTAGAGTATCAGACTCCACCTTGCTGAATACGTCCTTATAGTCGCGGTACTCTATAGGGACTACTCGATACACCTTATTACGCAGCTCCTTATTATCGTCTTCTAACGATTGTTGCTACTTCTTGTCTTGGATATATCGGTCGATCTCGTAGAGACTAGTAACCCCGATATAAGAGTCGGGACGCTTAGCCATTTTCATGAAAGCTATAGCGCTAATTACTACGAAATCGGGCGTATATTCCTTCGTAGTCGCGGGATTAGGAGGTTGGGGCTTCCTCTTCTCCGGGGTAGCTACTTTCCCGTTAGGAGGAGGCTCGTCGTATAGTTACCGCCTCATCTTTACAACTTCGGACTAACTAAACAAATCTTCGGGATAGATATCGTGACGGCTAAGTATACGCGATATACCGATAGGCTCCGTCGGACGTAAAAGTACTGACGGCTGCCGGCCAGTCAGTTCGCTAATCCGCTTGTCGATAGCTTCGCAAGCCGCAACCGATAAAGTATAATTCGAGCGGCGCCTTAAGTCCTCAGCCGCGTCGTTAGCGACTTTCCGGTCGCGTTTGTCTACGTCGTACTAGTAAGCGGGGTCCTTTAATAGCTTCCCGTAGTTATTTATCTCGATATCCGTATTATAGTAATTAGGTAACTAGGTAGTAGGAAAGAGTAGTCGTCGCCGTCGATAGTCTACTAGAACGTCGTAATAATCGAACCATTCCCGGCCGATTAAGATATCGTAAACGGGGATATCGATAATCAAGAAACACTCGTTTATGATATAGCGGTCTTGAATTCATAGGTATCCTATTAGTACCTCTTATATAGACTAGGACACCTTTCTATCGAAGCTACCGACTCCTCGGGGTTCGAAGTCTTATCGAAGCTCCAGTCCTAGGAGGCGCTATAGCTTTTTTGCGAATCGTTTGCTAATAAATAAATATCCGTTTGCTCCGGTATCAAGTAATACGTATATAGTTGAGACTGATTTTCTATTATAGGCTATACTATAGAAAGCTTCTAATGAGCGTCCTCCCAGGAGGCCCTTAACGAAGTCCTCTAGATTGGCAGTCTAGCCTTGTTTGCTGTATTCTGATATTATCCCTAAGATAGAGTCAAATTTCCCTAGGGTAACTAGTTTTCCGAGTCGGAAGAACCACTACTCTCGGAGTCGGAGAGTTCCTTGTCCTTTGAGCGACGGTCGCTATCAGCGTACTTCTCGATAATAGCTTGAATAGCGGCATTCTTCTCAGGACAGTCCCTCGACATATGCCCAGTCTTGTAGCAGCTAAAACAACGGCCGTCCTTGATATACTGCTTGACCTCTTCCTCGGTGAGCTTGCGACGCTGTATCGACGCGTTCGTAGTAGAGGCGGGGGTCTTGTCCTCCCACTGGGAGCGGGGTAGCTTCACCTGTCGGGCTAGGCGGACGAAATCCTTCTTAAAGCTGAAGAAATCGTCTCCGGGCTCCATTTTCAGGTCGGCATAGTCGTCGAGTACGGCTTTATCTATATAAGTATCGTAGTACTCGTTATAGAAATAGTTAAAGAGTTCGTCGGACGTAGAGAAGTGGTCCGTATCGGTACTACGGATATAGGGATAGAGGGCCTTAGATGCCTTGCCTTAGATACGGCTCTTGATATAATAAACTTCGAAACGTCGTCGGGGAAGTAATCTTTGCTGCCCTCTAACTTATCGAGGATAGCCTTATATTACTCGTCAAACCCGAGTTTGTTATCCTTATTATCTTAGAATACGGGGATATCGATCTTATAGCTACGCTAATAGCGCCCTAAGGCAGTCGTCTTATATATATAGGTAGTCTACTCGGTACGTTACGAGAAAAGGGTATCCTATCGGGAGCGAGTATTCTCGCTAGGGGGTAGGGGTACTACGGGAGCTCGCGCGGCTACCTTATCCTCGAGCCGCTAGTTCTTGCGGACTATCGTAGCAATAGCGCGTTCGAGTTCCTCGATCTTATTCCTACGAGCGCGTACCTCTTCTGTTAGGCGGTTTATCGCTCTATCGTCCGGGTTGTAGGAGGTTACTAGCCTCTTTCCGAAGTTATCGGCCCAGCTATATAACGTAGCCAGGTTCGCGTCTTATAGGCGGGCGACCGTATAAAGCTAGTCGGCCAGATCCTTATAACCGGCGGCTATAAATATCCGGAGTTTCATCTCCTAAAATATAGCTTTAGGGCTCTTCGTTACGAGTTTTATCTAGGTATTGAAATCCAGGCGTCCGGTAAACTTGAAATGGGTTTAGCCCTCTTCCGTTAAAGAGACGAAAGGGAACGTAATAACTATATCGTAGACGAATATCTCGGCGTATTTCTCAATCTTCTATACGGCGTCGGAGTTAATATCGGCGATACTAAGTTTATACCGGTAATCATCGAACTGAGCTTGGATTATATTCTTATAGTCGTAGTAAAAGACTTGACTATTGTAACTAAGAAGGACGTAAGTCGGGTCTAGGTCAGGGTTTTTGTCGCGACCGGTAGTAACGGTTTGTCTTTACTCGTAAGTCGGAAGAAAAGAGTAGCGAGAAGCGTAGTAATAAACCTCGGTATGAGCTTTCGTCTTCGGGAGGTTCTTATCGAAATCGAGGAAGCTGAAGCGGACTTGCTTCTAGGCCTAAATACGTATAAAGGCGTCGCCGTCGATATCCTTATCCTTATTCTTGTTCGGTATCTCGAAAGTAGGCTCCGAGTTCTCGTCGAGAGGGTTAGTAATATCTTAGTTACTTTCGTAGTTATCGACGTTCTTAAAGTAGGTAGCTAAGAAGAGCCTAGCTTTGCGCCAAGCGCGAGAGGGTCCTATCTCCGGCGACCTATCGTTGGAACGCGTTATAGTTCTTAATTAGGGGTATAGTATAACGTTCTACGATCCCGGTCTTGCTAAGCGTTATACTGATTCGGTAGTTCCTTCCCTACCAATCTTAGTAGTCTTATTTCCGTTCAAATTCCGTAGGAAGTTAACGTCTTCCGATTGACGTAATAAAAGGCGACGTCTAAATAGTATAACGGATAGGAATATTACGTAGTAATCGGGCCAGTACTGTATTCTATTGCCTAAGATTCAGACGTAAGGAAGTAAAAAGGGAAGGCGCGAAGGAACGCGTCTTAACGCCTGTTCCCTTCCCCCCATCGACCTGTTCAACCCAGTGGTCGACATAACACTCTTTCTCCAGCCAGGCAACAACACGCTGGAGTTAGAAGTATCGTCAACCCTCTTCAACGCCGTCAAGGCGCGTTTACCCTCCCTCCTTTCGGCAGGTGGTCCGGCTAGTGCACCTGATGATTATACTAATGCGACTTGGGCGGGTTTGCACTTGTAGGTGAGGTCGAGGTTGAGGTTTTGCGACGGGTTGTTGTGCCCATGACATAAGTGGGTTGGAGGGAGTGGGCTAGAAGTCTGGCTGTGGGTTAAAGGTTGAGGCCTGGCAGTGACGTAAGAGAGGGATCTGAAAGCGGCGATGGATGCCAAGATATGGGAAAGGGGCAGGGAGAGGGCAATGAGGATAGGAGAAGGGGATACGAGGTGGAACACACAGGAATCGTACAAGCCCGCTTAGCTCAGTAGTAGAGCGCATCACTAGTACCTGCACTGGATCATGATGAGGTCGCCAGTTCGATTTTGATAGCGGGCATAGGAAGACACCGCCAATGGGTGCACATTGTTTTGCTGTTTTGCGCCTTGAAACGCCATAATGACAGTGGTTTTTGGTGTTGAGGTTCGGGGGGGAAAACTCAGTTTTGTTGTGGAAGTGGTAGGTTGGGCTGCAATTATTGTGATTTTGCACAACACACACAACTCGTGCATTCTTGTGCAAACATCAGCCCTTGCGGGACGTTGTACTCTAGCTGACAGTGGTGACAGAGCAATGTGGCACTTAGATCTTCCCAACGTCCAACGCAGCAGAGAATGTGTCTATCCATGCTTGAGCCCATCCGCGGCACTACACCGCCAGGAAGGGGCAATAGGGAATGCGAACTTCATAGTCTGCAAAGTATAGAGAGACGCCGATGCTTATCACCATCATTGCCATCATTGCACTCTCTTCACTTGGTTCATCAAACCGGGAAGGGCTGCAAAGTAGCCAACAAATGGCATTATACAGCGGCTTGCGAGGATGCAGTATGTAGGCCTTGGTACCGGAGTAGAGGAAGTCGACCTGATCAGCAGTTGGGTTAATGAGGCACGTACTGCTTGGAGCGATGAAGCGAAGATGCTGCCCGAAGCAGACAAAAAGGAACGTACAACATCAGGGATTCCCCGGTGGTCACCCACCCGAGTACTAGTCTGACGATTATGGATCGTGTCTATAGGGTCTGGGAGGTCCGAAATTGGTCCTTTGGGGGTAAAAAAGTGGCAGCCTCGGATCTCAACCGTCGCGCCAGCATGCGGCCGCCCCCATTTGGTGTTTTCATGACACATACCATTTGAAGACGACGATAAATCTGCCACCCGTTTAAGCGCCCGTACTGACGGGGGCTCCCGACAAAAGGGTGTTAAAACGTCAGTATAGATATCATCTTCGGAAAGTCTGCAGTCCGTCGGCATCGGAATTTGCTTGCTGAGTAACACTAATGGCTATTCTAGGAAACTTGGGCACACCACCTGATCCCCCGAATGGCACAGGGGAACTCCTCCCGGTTTCATACACGACACAGGGCCGTCATGCGGTGCCAGCATCGCGTGACTGAGGTCTATCACGCGAACCCCGTGATTCCGAACACGACGGCTGCCTGAATATCAGTTATGCGGTCAGCGGCACACTGGGGGAGCTCAGTGGCGAAACGAGTAGAACACCCTTAACATAACAACCAGTTTCAGCTACGTTATAACTTTAGGTCCTGGGTATAATCATAGTCCCGGTTTGACACTTATCATGCCACTTGCTATGAGGTAGGAGATGTTTCAGTGCTATACGTACTAAGGACTGGCTCCCTGTTTCCTGATATCGAACAGTCAAATCCTCTTTGCATCATCTGTCAAGCGCGACGTATTTCCTAGACTTATTAAAAGCTTTATGAGGTACTTCGATCCCTAACCCTAGCGTTAATGCGTATGGTTATAGTCCCGTGCGATTAATGTCAACTTCTAATAACCAACTTTTAACATCCCCACTCCTTTAGTGTCATTCGCCTTTGTATTCCTGCTTCTAATCTTACTTCCCTTTCTCTTTTAATACCACGATAGCGCTATCGCTTTTCACCACAATGGAGCATAATCTTCCATAACGTGCGCCCGAGGACGAGCTCGTTAAACAAGCTTGCCTTGCAGGACTATCAGATGCATATGATGCTTACCGAATATCAGCGAAGGAAAAAGGAATCTATAGCGAGGCATTATCCCGAGGCAGTTACCCCGATAGATAGTACGCTTCCGTATCGCCTGCTATTACCTCTCCCGGTTCCCGTAGTGAGCGAACGGATGCTAAATAAGGGAGACGAGATTAAGGATACGAAGCTAAAGTAGGAGTTGCTTCTTCCGTTGCCGCTTCGTATCCCCGAGCCCGAATATCTGGTCGATGATGCTTTAGCGTATAGTTTCGACGAGGAAAGTTAAGCTTTCTACCTGGCTTGCGTAGAAGGAAAGCTGTAGAGGGTCCGATATTTCGTCGAGGACTCGGAAAGACCTCGCGGCGATCTCTAGTTCGGTCTCGAAGAGGTAGCCCACTCCTTCTAGCTCGACGTCGTGCGGTATTTTACGTAGGAACACGACGTCGGCCTTCACACCGGCGTCTTGAATGTAGCCGGCATTGGTGATCAGTATTTGATTTTCTACCCGCGGGCTGAGGATCTCATCTGCCGCAATGGTCTTTTGATCAGACAGATCAACCGTGACTGACCCTCCCTCCCTCGCGCAAGACCTTAACCGCAGTCGTAGAGGTGTACACAATTGCTCCTTTTCCGATGAGCCCCTCGCGGGCGGGTTTTGCAGCCGCCGCGTCGACCCGGGGGAGAATCTCGCCGGTAGTCGTAAGGAGCGTGAGCTCGCTTCCGTAGCTCACATACGCAGTGGCCATCTCGCAGCCAACAGCACCAGCACCAAGAACCACAAGTCGAGGTGCCACGGTGCTGGAGCTGGTCACATGTCTAGGAGACCATGGCAGGGTCTCGGCGAATCCAGGGATTTCCGGTGTGATGGGTTTACTTCCAGTGGCATTGACGACGGCGTATTCGGGCCATGAGGGTGATACTCTGGCCGCTGGGACTATTGACCGGACCGTTCGCTCACCTGTTAGCCTTCACACACCTCGCACGATGTGAACGCCAGCGCCTTCCACGATAGGAACAAATGCGCCACGTCGTCCCATATACGGGTTAGATCATTTCCCGTCCTCAAGACAGCCTTCACGTCAAGAGGAGCGTCTGCGCGGTCACGGAGGCTGGGGACTCCTCTTAGCTCATCAGGAGCTTCCCGTGGCCGAAGTAGGCATTTGCTAGGCATGCAAGCCCAGTGTGGACAGTCACCGCCAATGGGCTCGTCCTCAATGACAACCGCAGTGTGCCTGGCTCGGACAAGACGTGTGGCAATGACCCTTCCTGCCTAGCCAGAACCGATACATATGACATCCCAGGAAGAAGACTTTAGAACTGAGGGGAAGTACGAGGAAGGGTGGAGGTCGATGCTTTCGTAGGGTGGCATATTTGCTACTTGGCCGATTATTAAGTGACAAGAGAGGGGGATTTCCGGCCTTGGGGGAAGCTGGATAACGGTCAGCTGTGAAAGCTTTGTCCCTTGGACGACGGTATCACTCACTTCAAAGTCGCGAGGATGCCGATGGGAGGTTCACTTCTTCTGCAAAGGGTGCGAAATTACTTCCGAGTCCTAATGAATGACACTTTAATGCCTCCCTGATGGTGAGTCAAAGATACGCACCGCGACTTATCAGCTGCCGGAAAAATAAAGGTCGCTCTATAGAGTGAGTAAGCAACTTCCTTAGGTCGAATAATTCACAAGTAGAAGATAAGGCAGCATGGGCGGATCCCATCCCAAAACCCGAGCATCCCTTGATTGATGCACGCTATCCTACCCCGCCATCACCTCTCAGCCGCCTCGGGCCCTGGTTTTTCCAGCCAATTCCCTGCTACCGTCCGTGACGCTGCCCATCACCACAGGGGGCCACGGCTCCCCGGTGCCCTCGCCCATTAGACACCTGCCTCAAGCGAGGCCAGTCCAGCCGCCCGAAACTCCTCCACCGGTTCCGTATGGAATCGCAGAAAATTCCCATCTGATGCCCCTTGCCTCCTTTCCACAACCACGAAACTTCAAAAAAACCCTAACCCTAACTTCTTCTGGGATGGAGGGCTGCAGGACGTGGTTGGTTGATGTGCGTCGACGGAATGATCGGGCTAGAACTTGGCGCGGACGCTACTCTTGGCTGAAGACAATGTTCACAATATCTGGATCTGCTGCTCCAGGACCCTTACCGTGCATGCGTGGACCGTCGGTCTCAGCCGAAACAAGCTGGAACGGACGCCGACCGCCGATCAAAAATCATGCCGCCGCATCAGGGCCATTAACTGCTATCCATGCTAGCTAGTCAATTTAATCGCTAGCCGTCCGTGGGCTTTCCGAGTTCGGAGGCAGGATACATTGCTGTATCTTATGGAGATTTGCTTATCGACCCGCGACCTCGATAGGCACCCTATCGATCAACGGCCAAAGGCAACCCATTACATGCGGGAAGCCGGCTACCTGCGTCGACGTAACTGCCTCTCGAGCTACAGTGATGCCTTGCTTCAGATCTACCACCGCCCCCGTCCGCGCATACTGGGTTCCAAGCTCGATTCCGACGTAGTTTATCGTTTCTGCCCAGTTCGGATGGTCGTACGCTGTCTGGTCGACTGCGTGCTATGGCAGGCCGAGCAATCTTACAGCCAAACTTGCAGCCTGTTTACTTCTCACACCGTTTCAAGTCCAAGTAGCGCGGAAACGCGCATAGATTTACTTGCAAGGGGTATTGTAATCCCAGGCCCTTTTTTCGTATTAGTCTGACGATTTGTCAGGTTGGTCTTATGTCGCGTATAAATTAACAAGAAGACTTCATATACCTAGAATGCCAACGCTATGAGGTATGGGACCCGTGGCGAAGGGCCAGTGCACGGACTACATTTTTATTAATTTTGACATATGTTAGTGCGTGCTGATGTGGCAATGAGCCATTGCAACACTATGTGCAAAGTGACACTCAAAACACTTAAAAGTATAAGTCTAGTTATATTCCACGCGGCAATTCTGACGGCGCCTCTTTGCCTGTCAATCATGAACTGTTGCCAGGAGCCCACACTGCTGTTGAAATGCGGGAATGGCTCATCAGGAATTTGTTTTCCCAGAAACCTGCATAGCGGCTCCCAGCCATCTTCAACGCTGAATTCAAGAAGCCTCTCTTCCGGTACAAGCCCGCGAATCATGTTACAGTGGTCTACGAAGCGATTAGTTCAGTCCAGTGTCCACTATGACACACATCGATGGCCAAGCTTACCTCTAAATCTCCAGCGTCCGGTCTGGTAGAAAGAGTCTTGCGTCCAGACGCCGCGAGCGCCATATGGCAGGGGAATGAGAAACCGCGCATGACAGTGGTACCTCCAGAAAAGGCCCCGATCAAACCAACTGCATAAGTAGTATATCCACTCTTCG